AAATATATTAGAAAATAGATCTAGTCCAAATTGCTCCTTCATGTGCCATTTTAAAGATGAGGAAATAGTACCCCTTTGTGCAGCCCGCTTAGCCTTTTTCTGTGCCTATCATCAGCTTTTGTATCCTGATGCAACCTCCCATTGCCCCCTTCCAACCTGCCCTACTCTCATAGGCCCTATTTGTGGGGAATGAAGAATTCAAGCTGAAGAACTACAGGAAATTGTGATTTCAAGCTCACAAGTGGATGATAATGATCACCAAGTGAAAAATGCAGAGATAACAACTTGATTCTAAATCCCTACCTATGTTAATATTTTAGGTGATGAGGAGGGAGGATAAGGAAAAACACACTCTCCAAACTATGCTGTATTATATACATCTTGTAGGACACAAGGGTTCAATTCAAAAAGCTACTCTTCTTAAAAAATAAATGGTATGTTGTTTCCTACAAGAACTACTGTCTAGAGCTTTATATCTGGGAAGTACTTCACTTGCTAGTGTAAAAATCTAAAGAAGAATGCAGTTCTAACAATGTTCTACTGCTTTCTGAAGAGTTCTCTCTGTTCCTTCCATAACATACAAACAATTGAGAAGTTAATTAATCTCATATTCTGACTTTAATTAATTAAAACATTTTATTCTTCCAGATCCTTGTCAAGATGTATATTAGAGGGGCTGGGGATGTGGCTCAAGCGGTAGCGCGCTCGCCTGGCATGCGTGCGGCCCGGGTTCGATCCTCAGCACCACATACAAACAAAGATGTTGTGTCCGCCGAGAAATAAAAAATAAATATTAAAAAAAAAAAAAAAAAAAAAAAGATGTATATTAGAATTGCCAAAACTAAAAATAATAAACATTTTTCTACAATTGTCCAACAGTTTGCAATACTTTAAAATATATTTTTGTTGATATGACAGCATAACATTTCCTGGTCACCGGAAATGTTGTCTTCTGGTTCCTGTTAATGATGTTATAAAACCAAGGTACTTATATTTTTAGATATCATCATCAAAGAAATCTATACTCTTATTAACATGAATCGTTTTCCTACTCAATATTGCATTCAAGTTTAGGAGATATTGGCACACTTTAATAACTTGATGATTTTAGATATTAGTAAACTTATTGTTTCCTCTACTCTATAAGGACACACCTAATTTAGGTTGAAAAGCATTTAGAGTGTAACTGTCTCACAGGTTTTTATCATTCACAAAATAGGTGTTGTTGTATAGATATGGTTCCTGTATCAGAGTTTGACCAGGGAAGCAGGACCACTCTGGGTGACATGAACAGGGACTTATTATGGGGATTATATCTTATAGTTGAAGGAAGGCTGGGAAGAAAATGATTCAGAAGGGGATGGCTAATGGATCAGAAAAGTTACTATGACCACAAAGGAAAGCTGGTGAAGAAGACTACAGAAGATTTTTGGTGTTAAAGAAAGTTATTCTGGGGCCTGGAGTTGTGGCTCAGTGGCAGAGTGCTTACCTAGTATGTGTGAGGCACTGGGTTGGAGTCTCAGTACCACATATAAATAAATAAAATAAAGGTCCATCAACAACTAATAAAAATATTTTTTAAAAAAGAAAGTTATTCTGACGCTTGTTAAAGATAGCAAGGAAGATCTTATTGAAGAAGGGACTACTGCAAACAGGATTTTTTGAAGGGGAAAAAAATTAAGCTCAACTATAAATACAAAAATACAAGTGGGGATTTACAGTCAAGAAGCATCATATGAGTGAATGAAAAAATACTATGAGGAAACATTGGGGTATGGCTGTTGAGAGCCACAGCTGAAGGGGCCCCAGCAAACTTCCAGCTGCCAGTTGATGATTGGCTCACAGCGGCCTCAGCAAACTTCTAGCTGCCAACTGATTGGCTCCTCTGCGGTGATGCTCATTGGGCTGTTTCCGGGCCCTTTCAGACCACAGAGCTGCTCATTGGGGGACTTTTTTTTGGCTCTGCCCACCCGACCCAGCCAATCAGCCTCAAGAGCAGGAGGAGTGGGGGAGGTGGAGAGGCTTGTGGGAAGCCGGTGGTGGCAGTTGGGCTCTGAAGGTTTTTCCTGAGGAGCTGTTTTGTTTGGCGTGTGTGGTTCTAAAAATAAAGTTCGTTTCTTTTGACAAGTGGCTCCTGAATTGTGCCCAGCAGACTGCGGCATTTATATGAGTGAATGAAAAAATACTATGAGGAAACATTGGGGTATGGAAATGCTGGATAAAACATTCTGATAAGATTCTTGCTGAATGCAGGTCAAGGTGATCAGGCACCAAGAGTGAGGATTTAGCAGGATTTTTGCTAAAACTGAACTAAGTGGGCCAAGGACAGAGGGCCTGGTCAAGAAAAGGGCTTAGAGAAACCTGACTTCAGTTTGATCAAAGTAGACTCTTTGTTATTGGTTTTGCATCCAGTGATGGGTTTAAGGTTGTTATACATCTACATGGCAGATAATTGGGAAGAAAAGATGCAAAACAGGGAGAGCAAGGACAAACCTGACAGCCAGTACCTGTGTTGTCTGTTTCTCATCATTTCAAACCTAGATGATATGGACAACCCAAAGAAGCTAGGCCCTTCCCCGCATCTACCACCCCCAAACAGCACATACTCCTGAGTTAAAGCTTCAGTGAAGTTAAAAGACAAGGTCTGGCAAAAATTGGAGGAGCTCCTGCTCTCTGCCACACATACACACACAACAGAACCAAAAAATTTTTGACAAGTGGGAGCTATACTTGGGACGCTGAACTAACCTTCCAAATGTAAAAGTTTCTGCTTGATTACGCTGTCTCACAAATCTTAGGTAAATTCTTCTTATGACCAGCCCTAACTGGAACCATGCAGAGAAGAGAATTCTGAGAAATGCAATTCTACTATCACTAAATTGGCACAGAATAAAATCACCACAATATCTAGAAGTTACTTCATATGCATTGATCCTAAAACAAACTTAAGCTTCTGAGATAACACATTCAATAATAAATCCTATCATAATACTGATATAATTACTGTATTCATTTGCAATTTTTCCTCCAACTTTTCTAATACAAGAAACACTGCTACCAGCAGAGGTACCTATTTCACTCCTACTAAAAATAAACATAAATTTAATTCAATGCAGTATCATTAACCAAGCAATTTTTAAAATGGAAATTCAATTAATACTTTCCTATTTCCACCCAATTGCCTTTCATCATCTCAGCTTTCCTCATACTAGCTTCTTTTTACTTCCCCTAACTAAAAATATTTGAACTCTGAACATGAGGTTCTTTTACTCCTTCCTGCAATGTGGCTTTTATTAATGAATGCCAAGTCCATCTGTCAGGTTGCATAAATCTGAACTGTAATTATGAATGTGAATTGAGTTCAAGTTCTTTCCCACAGTTTTTAGGCCTCATGTAAGTTGGGATACGAGTTATGTCATCTAATTCTACATCTTTGCAAACCCAGCTCTGCTCTGAGTACACTCTTGGAGTCCCTGCAGATGTCTCAGCTCTCATCAGAAAATTCCTCCAGGGAGAGAGTAACAAGCTCAGCTTTGCCTGAAGCCTTTCTTGGCCCCCAGAGACACTTTTCTACACAATACTGACACTGGGCTCCAAGAGTAGTATATTTTCTCCCACTTGCCAGAAGTTTTAAGAGTACATCTGAGCACCAAGCATATTAAATGGAATCTTCTGGAAAGTAGTACTTTTCAACTATATTCCCCTCCTCTGAGAACTTCCGGTTTAGGATGACTTCACAGTAGTAGTGTCTACTATAAATTGACTAATTAATATATTATTATACTATGCTAATGGTAAAAGGTTACCAGGCACTGGAGTGAAAAACCCAAGTTTTGGCTTTGGCATCACACTCGTCTATGTCTCACTACAGAAGGTATAACCTCACAGGATTATTGTAAAGTGTAAATGAGATAACAGATGTCTTCTCTGCACCCAAAATGACCCCCCAACAATCATCTTCCCACCTCTTTGGGATGAAAGCAGTTTACTTTTGTCACTATGTGGGTGACAGAGTACTTCCTGGCTGCTTCAGGGGCTGCCTCACAGTGCACAGAGCTCTGTTCCTTTCCATATAGGCCCTGCTGTAGATCTGCCTCACCAAGTCTCACTCTTACAGCGAGAAGGGGGCTCTTTCCACACTTAAGAAGAGGGTTTGGGGGAGCTGGGGTTGTGCCTCAGCAGTAGAGCACTTGCCTCACATGTGTGAGGCACTGGGTTCGATTCTCAGCACCACATAAAAATAAATAAACAAAATACAGGTATTGTGTCCATCTACAACAACAACAATTAAAAAAAAACATAGAAAAGGGTTTGGGTTTTTTTTCCTCCCTCATTCTCTTACAAGGCTCCCTTCTATCCCTCCCTGAAGTCCATCCAGTTTTATACTGCTCAGGATTAGCAGGGTATCATTAAAATATGAATTAAAAATATTACATGTTAGATGGCATGTTTATTAAAATGCTTCTCTCCTTCCCTCCAGGTCAAATTTTATTCATCCAGATTGACGATTGCTTCTCTTTTTTTCTAAAAGTACTCTTAAAGTAAGATCAACTATTTGACTTTCTTTTCCCTACTTTTTTCCTTAAGTTACTTTGAGTATTGTTTATAATAAAAGGTAAACACATAACCAAACTCAGCTTAATGAAAATTAAAGCTAATGACAGTTATATCTACATTCAAATTACAGAGAAATAAGTATGTGGAAGCTATCTCCATCACCTGCAGCAGTTGCTAGGCTTATAAAATATGTTGTACATGCAGGTACTACGGAAGCCCAGTAGATTTCAGTTTCCTTCCCTCTCCTCCTCCTTCCTGACTATCACTGAGCAGACAAAAGTAAGTTTGGGTTTATAAGGGCATCTGATCAAATTACACATAATCAAAAACAACAACCTTTATTTTTAAACATTAAACTTATTACGGGCTGATCAAGAATGATCAAATATGACTTCTTTAAATGTACAATATTTAAATTGATACTTTTAAGTTGCAATAGTATTTCAGGAAGATGTTGCCTGTTTCAAATATTGAATAAGATCTTCTCTCTCACTCTTCTTTTTAAGACCAGCAAAGACCATTTTAGTTCCAGGGATATATTTCTTTGGGTTCTCCAAATATTCCCTCAAAGTGTCTTCTCCCCAGACAACACCTATAAAATTGAAAGTAAGTTTTTAAGTTTGTATAGTTACATTTGTAGGGCTTGTTTTCTAATGTGATACACATGTGAATAAAAGTTTATATTCTGACCGGACAGAAGACTTTTAACTAAGAATATGTATAGATTCTGACTTAGAAAAACATTACAAAATTAGACTCCACTCTTTGCCTTCTCTATAGAAATCCATAGTCACAAGTTATTTAGGATTATCCAAAATAAATCAATGAGCTATCACCCCCCACACATTGTGCCTAAGTAGTAACTCATCCTCCTATAATCCCATGTCCTTTTAGAGAAGAAGAACTTAAAGATCATTTAATCTAGTCTTTTATTATGCAGATGAGTAAATGATGATCCAAAGAGAAGAAAGTATTTTCCCTTAAAATGACAAGCCTGCTTGGAGTCAAGAATTTATAACTATTAACTTATATTTTCATGTTCTTTCATCAGTCAATCAAACCAAGTTCCTTTTGTCCACATTCCCATCAAAATCTGACTCAGAAATCCAGAATCAAGATGACAAGGAAGGTTGCCTTTTTCCCTTCTAAAACCAGTCAAAACACAGATAAAGAGAAACACTAATGCTAACTCTATTTTTGATAAAACTTTTCAGGAAGCATCTATAACCCCAAACTTGATATAATTAGAAGACCACCAAGGATATGAAACATGGACCAAAGAAAGAAGACAATGTCACTAATGGCTAGGGTGAACAAGAGAAGAATTCTTCAAAGTAGGTGATACATCCTAAAGGGCAAAGTTATAACCCCATTTTGCTTCAGAAAGAATAGGGTGTATCAGTTGGACATAAAAGTTTCCTTAAATTCAGTTTGACATCATGGAGGTCAGGGGAGCCAGAATTAAAGAAGAAAACAGAGACATGTCATCTTTGAAAGAAGGATCCCAACATGTTATAGGGTAGGTTTTCAATTTTATAGGATAAAAGAGAAACTACAGGAGTTGCATAGCCCTCTGTCAGGTGAAAAAAAAGGACCAAATAACACCATCACCAAAATATACCTAAAAATACTCAAATATATATACACATCTATAACATATAACTGTGGGGAAAGAAGAACTAACTGGTACACTCAGACCTTCACCCATACTATACTTCTGCAGACAATTAGTCCAAGAAGATCTGTTCTAATCAAAAGGTGAATAATAATCAAAAAAGAAACAGCATAAGAATGTTGAAAGTACATATACATAACATGTATGCACAAACACATACCACATATAAATACAAAGCAGATATGAATATTTAAAAAGTTAAAAGAAAAATACACATCAGAAATTATAGACATTAAGCAGATGAAAACCATAACTACATTCCCACAGTTTCAAAGAAACCATTTTAATTTAATGTGTACTATTTACTAATTTAATTTAATTTATAAATTAAAGGCTCAATGCAGAACTACAAAACGCTCAAGCAAAAAATGATAAAATAGAAAGATATAAAAGTGACAGTTAACTGAACAGGTGCTGCTGATGGCACAAATGGGCTTGAAAATATTGACAAAAAGAAAATGGAAATAATTAAGCATTTAAAATGATCACTTAGCTTTCAAATCAAAGGAAAAATGATACATATAGAAGACATTTAGACAAAGAAGATCCAAGATTCACACAATGGATAGCCCAAGTATGATTTTTTTAAAAAAATGGATAAAATAAAATTATTAAAACATATAGTTTAAATTTTACATATTTTATTTATTTTTAAAATTTATTTATTCTAATCCATTATATATGACAGCAGAATGCATTTCAATTCATAGTACACATATAGAACACAGATTTTAATGTCTCTGATTGTACACAAAGTAGAGTCACCTCACTCGTGTCTTCATACATGTACTTGGGGTAATGATGTCCATCTCATTTCACCATCTTTCCTACCCCTCTGTCCCCTCCCATATCCTCCCTCCTACCTAAAGTTCCTCCATTCCTCCCATGCTCCCCCACCCATCCCCATTATGTATCAGCATCCTCATATCTGAGAAAACATTTGGCATTTTTTGGGGGGGAGATTGCCTTACTTCACTTAGCATCATATTCTCCAACTCCATCCATTTACCTGCAAATGCCATGATTTTATTCTCTTTTAATGCTGAGTAATATTCCATTGTGTATATATACCACAGTTTCTTTATCCATTCATTTACTGAAGGGCATCTAGGTTGGTTCCACAATTTAGCTATTGTGAATTGTGCTGCTATAAACACTGATGTAGCTGTGTTACTATAGTATGCTGTTTTTAAGTCCTTTGGGTAGGAGTGGGATAGCTGGGTCAAATGGTGATTCCATTCCAAGTTTTCCAAGGATTCTCCATAATGCTTTCCATATTAGTTGCACCAATTTGTACTCCCACCAGCAATGTATGAGTGTGCTTTTTCCCCACATCCTCGCCAACACTTACTGTTGTTTGTATTCTTAATAGCTGCCATTCTGACTGGAGTGGAATAAAATCTTAGAGTAGTTTTGATTTACATTTCTCTAATTGCTAGAGATGTTGAACATTTTTTCATATATTTTCATTCAGTGTATATCATCTTCTGAGAAGTGTTTGTTCAGGTCCTTGGTCCATTTATTGATTGGGTTATTTTTATTTATTTATTTTTTTTGGTGTTAAGATTTTTGAGTTCTTTATATATCCTAGAGATGAGTGTTCTATCTGATGTGCTTGTGGTAAAAATTTGGTCCCAAAATGTAGGCTCTCTATTCACCTCACTAATTGTTTCTTTAGCTTTTTAGTTTGGATCCACCCCACTTATTGATTCTTGATTTTATTTCTTGCGCTACAGGAATCTTATTAAGGAAGTTGGGGCCTAATCCGACATGATGAAGATTTGGGCCTACTTTTTCTTCTGTTAGGTGTAGGGTCTCTGGTTTAATTCCTAGGTCCTTGATCCACTTTGAGTTGAGTTTTGTGCATGGTTAGAAATAGGTGCTTAATTCCATTTTTTTGCATATAGATTTCCAGTTTTCTTAGCATCATTTGTTGAAGAGGCTATATATGTTTCTCCAATATGTTTTGGGTACCTTTGGCTAATATGAGGTAACTGAATTTATGTGGGTTTGTTTCTGTGTCCTCTATTCTGTACCATTGGTCTACAAGTCTATTTTAGTGCCAATACCATGCTGTTTTTGTTACTATTGTTCTCTATTATAGTTTAAGTTCTGGTATAGTGATACCACCTGCTTTACTCTTCTTGCTAAGAATTTCTTTAGCTATTCTGGGTCTCTTATTTTTCTGGATAAATTTCATGACTGCTTTTTCTATTTCTATGAGGAATGTCATTGAGACTTTGATTGGAATTGCATTAAATCTGCTTTTGGTAGTATGGTCATTTTAACAATATTAATTCTGCCTACCAAGAACAAGATAATCTTTCCATCTTCTAAGGTCTTCTTTAATTTCTTTCTTTAATGTTCTAGCATTCTGTAATTTTCATTGCAGAGGTCTTTAACCTCTTTTTAAAATTGATTCCCAAGGTTTTTTGTTTTATTTATATATTTTTTGAGGCTATTGAAAATGGGGAAGTTTTCCTAGTTTCTCTTTCAGAGGATTTGTCACTGATGTACAAAAATGCCTTTGATTTATGGATGCTTATTTTATATCCTGCTACTTTGCCAAATTCATTTTATAGTTCTAGAAGTTTTCTTGTGGAATTTTTTGGGTCTTCTAGGTATAGAATCATATCATTAGCAAATAATAATTTGAGTCCTTTTTCTATCCATGTCCCTTTCATTTCTTTCATCTGATTGCTCTGGCTAGAGTTTCAAGAACTATGTTAAATAGTAGTGGTGAAAGAGGGAACCCTGTCTTGTTCCAGTTTTTAGAGTGAATGCTTCCAATTTTTCTCCATTTAGAATGATGTTGGCCTGGGGCTTAGCATAGATAGCTTTTACCATGTTGAGATATGTTCCTATTATCCTTAGTTTTTCTAGTGTTTTGAATATGAAAAGGTGCTGTATTTTGTAGAATGCTTTTTCTGCATCTATTGAGATAATCATATGATTCTTATCTTTAAGTCTATTGATGTGATGAATTACATTTATTGATTTCCATATGTTGAAACAACCTTGCATCCCTAGGATGAACCCCACTTGATCATGGTACACTATCTTTTTGATATGTTTTTGTATTCAATTTGCCAGATTTTATTGAGAATTTTTGCATCTATGTTCATTAGAGATATAGGTCTTAAGTTTTCTTTCTATGATGTGTCTTTGTCTGGTTTTGAAATCAGGGTGATATTGGCTCATAGAATGAATTTGAAAGTGTTCCTACTTTTTCTATTTCATGAAATAATTTGAGGAGTATTGGTATTAGTTCTTGTTTGAAGGTCTTGTAGAACTCAGCTATGTATCCATCTGGTCCTGGGCTTTTTCTTGGTTGGTAAGCTTCTAATGTCATCTTCTATTTCATTGCTTGAAATTGATCTGTTTAACTTGTGTATTCCTGATTTCGTTTGGGCAAATCATATGACTCTAGAAATTTGCCTATTCTTTCAATATATTCTATTTTATTGGAGTACAAATTTTCAAAATAATTTCTAATTATCTTCTGTATCATAATATTTCCTTTTTCATCACAGACATTAGTAATTTGAGTTGTCTCTCTCCTTCTCTTCATTAGCATGGCTAAGGGTTATCAATTTTATTAATTTTTTCAAAGGACCAACTTTTTGTTTTGTCAATTTTTTCAATTGGTTTTGTTTCAATTTCATTGATTTCAGCTCTGATTTTAATTATTTCCTGTCTTCTACTGCTTTTGGTGTTGATTTGTTCTTATTTTTCTAGGGCTTTGAGATATAGTATTAGGTCATTTATTTGTTGACTTTTTCTTCTTTTAAGGAGTGAACTCCATGCAATGAACTTTCCTCTTAGTACTGCCTTCGTAGTATCACAGAGATTTCAATATGTTGTATCAGAGTTCTCGTTTACCTCTAAGAATTTTTTAATCTCTTCTTGGATGTCTTTTGCAACCCATTGTTCATCCAATAGCATATTATTTAGTCTCCAGGTGTTGGAGTAGCTTCTATTTTTTATTTTATCATTGATTTCCAGTTTTGTTCCATTATGATCTGATAGAATGCAGGGTAATATCTCTATTTTCTTTTATTTGCTAAGAGTTGCTTTGTGGCATGATATATTGTCTATTTTAGGAAAAGATCCATGTGTTGCTGAGAAGAAACTGTATTCACTCACTGATGGATGAAATATTCTATATATATCAGTTAAGTCTAAGTTACTGATTATTGAATTCTATAGTTTCTTTGTTTAGCTTGTTTGGAAGATCTATCCAGTGGTGAAAAAGGTGTGTAAAAGTCACACAAAATTATTGTGTTGTGGTCTATTTGACTTTTGAACTTGATAAGAGTTTGTTTTATGAACGTAAATGCTCCATTGTTTGGGGCATCTATATTTATAATTGTTATGTCTTACTGATGTATGGTTCCCTTAAGCAGTATGAATTGTCTTTCTTTATCCCTTTTGATTAACTTTGGCTTGAGGTCTACTTTATTTGATATGAAGATGGAGACCCCTGCTTGTCTCCACAGTCCATATGAGAGGTATATTTTTTCCCAACCTTTCACCTTCAGTCTATGGATGTCTTTTCCTATGAGATGAGTCTCTTGAAGACAGCATATTGTTGTTTCTTCTTTAAAATCCAATCTGCCAATCTATGTCTTTTGATTGGTGAGTTTAGGCCAATGACATTCAGGGTTATTGTTGAGACATGATTTGTATTCCCAGTCATATTTGTTTATTTTTGGTATTTAACTTGACTTGGTTTCTCCTTTGATTAGTAGTATTTCCTTTAGTGTAATACCTCCTTTTGCTGATTTTCATTGTTTGTTGTTTTTTGTTTCCTCCTCATGGAATATTTTGCTGAGGATGTTCTGTAGTGCAGGCTTTCTAGTTGTAAATTCTTTTAACTTTTGTTTATCATGGAAGGTTTTTATTACATCATCAAATCTAAAGCATAATTTTGCTGAATATAAGATTCTTGGTTGGCATCTATTTTTTTTCAGAGGCTGGTACATGCTGTTCCAGGATCTTCTAGCTTTCAGGGTCTGGGTTGAAAAATATGAAGATATCCTAAATGGTTTCTCCCTAAATATAATCTGATTCTTTTCTCTTGTGGCTTTTAAAATTTTCTCCTTATTCTGTATGCTAGGCATTTTCATTATAATTTTAAAAAAATGTGCCTTGGTGTGAATCTGTTGAGATTTTATATATTTGGTGTCCTAATAGCCTCTTATATTTGATTTTCCAATTCATTATTCATGTTTGGAAATTTTTCTGATATTTTTTCATTAAATAGTCAAATTGGCAAAGACAGAAAGTATACTGGTAATTGCCAGAGATTACTTAATGGGAAAAGAATTTCAGTTTGAGAAAATGAAAAAGTTCTGGAGATAAATGGTGGTAATGACAACAAAACAATATGAATATACTTAAAACATAAAGTCATACACTTAAAGATGATTAAAATGATAAATTTTATATTATGCATATTTTACCAAAAACTTTAAAACACACAATATAAGATTATTGTTATTATCATGAATTTTGTAAAACTGTACTCCACACAAATCATGAGACAAAGGGTCTTCTTTAAAATATAAGAATTTCTACATCTTCCTAAAAAAAAGTGAAATTATTTACAACAAAAAAATTATATACAGATGATTTCATGAATGGTGTGACTCTACATCATATAAAACAAGAGAAATAAAAAGTTATGCTCCATCTGTGTACAATGAATCGAAATACATTCTGCTGTCATGTATAACTAATTAGAACAAAATTTTAAAAAGATTATACACAGAAAATAAAATATGGTTGATAGTAGCCATAATTTATATTAATGTGACTATTGACTTCCTGATTCTTCTTAGTCCTCATTTTATTTTAAATAATCTAATTTAAAATCCTAGTTCAATTAACATAGCAAGCTGCTTATATTATCCTTATTTTATCAATGGAACTAATATATAATAATATATTCTCAAATAAGTAAAAATAAAAATCATTACTTGAATAATCTTAGAGATATTTTATTTCTAATTCTTAGATAATGTTAAAACCAAGCCTTTTATATAGCTTTCAACCTTTGACAACAATCTATAATAAAAGATGCATTTGAAGTAAATTTTGATATAATTTCAAATCAATGATAATAAGTAATAAATGCCTTAAAATTTTGGTAGCTACAGGCTTAAATATTAGTTTATAACTAGTTTACAAATTAGGAATTCAAAAGTTTGCTATTGTAACAGAATAATAATATTAAAATGATACTACAGCAAAATATTACTTTAAATATTTAAGAGCCATTATAATGGCAAGTAATAAATGTAAATTTAAAAATGATTTATCCAGTAATCTATCAGCTGAAAATCCTATTTCAATAACTGCAATGCAATTCTGATGCTAATTGCTCAGAATCAGCATAGACTCGACAGTACCCAATAAGAATACCCTCACCACAGACACTAGTTGTAAATAATGGGCCACCCACACTTCTCACCAATTGACTACCAATCCAGGAATTCCCACCACCTCCCAAAGTTCAGTAATTTTCTAGACCAACTCACAGAACTCAGGAAAGCACTTTACTTACATTTATAGTTTTATTATGAATGATACAAATTAGGACCAGCTAGATTAAAAAACTCATAGGGCAAAGATTGGGAAGGTCCAAATGTAGTTTCTGGGTCATATTCCTGTGGAATCAGGACTTATCACCCTCCCAGATGTGTTCACCAATTAGGAAACTCAATGGGAGCTTCCAGTTATAAGTGCCCAAAGTTTTTAATGAGATTTCATTACATTGGCATGATTGATCACTTATCAGCCACATGACTAAACTCAATCTCCAATCCTCAGTCTTTCCCCAGAGATTAGACTAATATAACCTAGCTCAATGCCCCAATTCTCCAATCACATAGTTGATCTTTCTAGCATAGTCACCTCCATTCTGAAATGATTTATGAACTCATCATATTATCTCAGCATATCTTGGGTCTTGGTCTCAGGTGCCAACAATGATAACAAAGACATTCCTAACACTTAGGAAATTCCAAGGTTTTACATATTCTTGGAAAGGAACTCAGGACCAAACCCAAATTCTTTATTATACAATATTAGTTAACCAGAATTTTTGCACATCTGAATATAATAATATTGTGTTAATAATAACTATGTTGATATTTTAAAAGTACTAAAATATTCTTGGATAAACGAAGATTATATGTTACTTTTAGCACAAATAATATAGCATGTTTGTTTTAATGTATGAGTGCCTCTGTGTGTGATATATATATATATATATATATATATATATATATATATATATATATATATATAAAAGAGAGAGAGAGAGAGAGAGAGAGAGAGATATCTGTCTCACATGTATATCCAGGAGTAACAAATTGCTTTTAAAAGATACTATAATCTTTCTAACAATTTCTAATCTCAGTTCTCAAATGCTTTCTCATTTACTTTCTACCCTCTTTCTACCAACAAAGAAATTGTTGAATATACTTTTCCAACTGCATAATATTCCCCCCCCACTTTGCTAAGAATCATTATTATAGATAGAATCACTACTACCATTCTACCACTAAAATATGATTTGAGTTCTTTTAAATCTAGCTCAGATTTTTTTCAAGATAAACATATTGCACAAAATAAAATACTTTGTACAGGCAAAAACCTATGCCATACAAAACTGCTAGTTCTTCTTATCATAAAGATAATCAGTTATCCAAATTCAAGTCTTATGATATAAATCAATGTATCAGTATTATAAGCACAAGGGTCCATTTTCAATAACGCAAATAAGGCCCTTAATTATGGGCCAAATCATTTGCTTTTCTTTCTGTGTCAAAATATCTCAGTTCTCTCACCACTGATGATTGTTACCTTTGTTTTTGTTTGCATCAGTATACAAAAATCCTGGTGCTTGTCCTGTTTTTCGGACAAAGAGACCCCAGAGATTTGGACCTGTCTTGTGTTTTCCACCTTTTTCCACTGTGTGGCACTGAGCGCATTTCTGAGTAAAGATCTTCTTGCCTGCTTCAGCATCTCCCATTTTGTTTGGCAAGGAAACCTTAAACCACAGACCAAAGAAAATATCAAATTCTCGAAGCTGGAAACCCAAAGTTATTCCATCACTTTGGCTGCAGTGAATGCTAATGATATTAAACATGTTATTTATAGCATGTTTGTTTTAATGTATGAGTGCTCAAAAGAGGATATAGCAAATAATTTAATAAAAACTTAATCATCTCATTTATTTTAAATTTCCAGTCATAGCTACTTCACAAATTGCTATTAGAATAAACCTAACTTTACTTCAGTATTCAAACAATTATACCAGTTTATACAAGTCCTCTGTATTTCTTTCCTTTTCACCTCTAAAAACATGAAAAATTATTTGAAGCATATAGGTCTAATTTTGCATTTCCTTAGTTAAGAAATAAGGATAGAATAAATTGGAGAAGTGTTTAAGTATAAAATTTATTATGCATAACTATATGTCTATAATAATAGAACTATAAAATTAAAAATCATACAGAAAAGAATGAGGCCACAGAAAGCTATATGTAAAATAGATTCCCATTTACTTTACACTCTTAATTGTAAATCAGTCCATCAGACTAGATCAAGCACTACTAGAAAGCAATCAGAAATAACATTATTGACTTCAGTCAGCACTAATACAATTTAATATTAATGTAGTAGAAAATAAATGGTTTTAAAGTAGATAAAATCTTTGTATAGTAATAGATATATACAAGAGATTTTGTACAAAGACATTTTGATGAAGACTACCAAAAATTCTGTTAGATAACTGTCTCCTCCATCTAAAATGACATAAAAAAGAAAATATTTTCAACCTATCAAAATTATACTTTGAAATGGTAGTGAATGCTCTATATGGGTTTTGTTTTCATGCTCAGTGAAGAATAAATACAGTAGAGGCAGGGACTGGGATGGATTTGAACACAACAAATTACTATTATCAAAATCATGAAAGTACCTAATTCTTTGAGAGTACAATCCTAAGCATGTATTTATCCATACCTCCCTATTAAGAAATAATGTTTGCATTAATCTGCCAATGTTGAAGAATACAGTACTGCTTAAAGCTAACTATTACTCAGAGAAAGGCTAGTGTACAATAAACTACAAAATGAATATCTAATTTATTTCAATCTATGTGCAAGCTGATAAAAGTGTCAATAATCCACCTAAAGGAAAGACAGTTGATTTTGGGGGGCAGCATCCAAAAACTAGAAATCAATGTTTTAGGTCTGATAGAAAGCAGGGTAAGAAAACTTATTTTATCTAAGAAAGAAGCTAACTTTAAGATTCCAAACATCACTCAGTATATTGCATTCAATTCCTACATGTAACAGTTTTATTAATTATCTTAATAGTTTCAGGATTCAGTGAGCCTTTGAACAGAAGCCATAAAAGGGAATTTTCAACCAGAAAAGCAAATGTATGACCTTTTAGTAAAATACATTCACTATAACCATAAAATCTATATCACATAAAAATAAAATATTACCTAGATATCACCTTTTATAAAGGTAGAAAGATCAGATTGATTGTTTATAACAACTAAAATGTTACTAATAATTCTGAAAACTTTACTCATAAGCTATAAATTTCACATGAAAGTCACTTATAAAAAGCCTTCTATTATCACTATTCAAACTACCAGTATGAGTCACAATTAAAATTTTTATGGCTCACCTTTAATCACAGATTAATGCTGGTGCAAATGCCTATGACCCCTTTCCAAAAGCAATAAAATCAACACATTCATCAACAGTAAGATGGGTCAGAATATCAAAGGAAACCATTTTGTCCTATAGTTGTGTGACACTCTACCAGTATTTAGCATTAAAGAAGAAATATCTCACTAACATAGGCAAAGATGTGACCTCTAATATGAGCCTGATCGTTCATCCAACAATAAAGTATTCCAATACTAACTAGATGATAAAAGTAGCAAACATGGTATGTGCTTACTATGTGCCAGGTATATTCTAAGCCTTTTACATATTTTCAACTCATTTAATCTTCACAAAAGACCTATGAGATAGTTGCTATTCATATCTCTACTTTCGCATGTGAGGAAGATGAGGCGCACAGAGATTAAGGGACATATTTAGGGTCACAAATTTGTAAGCAGTTAAAAATCTGTTTTTAAAGTGATCAGGAGATCCTTCTTTGAATACAATTGCAGATGTTTAAATTTTTTCCCAAGTGAGAAAACGTAAGAGAACTAAGTGAAGGCGTTCTTAATACGCGTACAAACCATTGTCAAGTCTCACTGTGTAAAAAGAGGAATGCAGCGGGGGTCAGAACCATCAAGGTACCAATAAAACTTACAAAGCCCACACATAGTTGAAGTGATGAAAGCAGGAGGGGAAGCTCACTAGAAGATTTTTGGGAGGATGTGGGATCCATGTTGTAGTGGACTGTAGTGGAAGGCAGTAATAACAATGGAACCCTGAGTAAATCACCTCACATCCATGAACCCCCAAAGCTGTCCTTTACCCCTTCTCTGTGGCTGTGAATGAACCCCTGGGCTGCAACACGAGTCGGGCTTTCCAAACTCCCAGCCTCAACGACCCATGTCACCACTTCCACCTCAGGCTGCCCTCTGCCAACCACACGTCTGCCCTGCCGGCCCGCACCCACCACGGAGCCAGGGGCTTTGCTCTCCGCCTCCTTTGGGCCGCTGCCCTGCGGGGGCCCACTCCCCACTTGGGATACTGGGGGCTGGGCAGGCGTGCTTTGAGTCCCTTCGCCGAAGCCCCTGTCAGACATGCGCTCAGAGGGTCGTGGACTCAAGGACTAAAGGCAGGCTCCATCCTCGCAGCTGATTGGCCCCCGTCTGATCCCGCGGGATCCCAACTCTCTCAGAGCTTAAAGCCTTGCACCCGCCACGCGGCAGCCCCCTTGAGTCTTATTGTGACAACGTGAATGCCTTTCAAGCATAAGGACCCCAAACCTGTCTTTTTTTGTTTGTTCAACTTTTACCCAACCGAAGAGTTTATTTTTTGTATATGCACAATGTGTACAAGGTCTTGCTTGACATAGAAACTTCGTGCTTTATTAATGGTCCGAGAGCATTTGGCGACGGCAATCAAATCAAAGTCAACAAAAGAAAATGAGTGTTATTATAGGCAAGTCACAGTGCCAGGCAACTTGGAAATATAAACACTGAACACCTCAGCCCCAGTTTTCCATGAGCTACAATCTAGATGGAGCAAGATGTAAAATACAGTACATTCACATCATTACAAACAGACTATACAAAAATACAATAATACAGCAATTGACAGCAAACTTGCAATGTGGTAACTGCCAAAAATGGGGAACCAAGTAGGAATATAAACAGAAAAAAAGGTCCTGAAAAAGTAAAGAAAGAAGATATAGAGGGAAGGACTGAGAGAGTCAAAAGGATAAGGCAATTAAAGGCAGAGAGGTGAAAAAGACAAAGTTGTGTTTAAAAAACATAAGTAGGGAAACTAAGTTTATATTACTACTTGAGTAGAACACTGTAACTAGGAAATAGAAATATTGAAATAATTTTCTAAGATTGTTTAACAATCAAGGTATTTGGAAATGTGATTGATAGTGAATATTTTATGAATTAGGGAAATAGGATTTTTATTCAATATTCTTGTTCTCTAGAGCACAGCTGTCCAATTGACCTTTCTGCTGTGATGGAGATATTCTGTGTGGACTTTAATATGGTTAATATTTTAGACTGAGGAACTGAATGATTTTAATTGTAATGATTTAATTGATAATTAAGTTCAAGTAATTTTAATTTAAATAGCCACAATTACAGATGGTTGAATGAAACTATGTGGTACCTATGAGTTTTGTCGTGTTATCAACACATTTAAAAGCTATGTCATCAACCAAAAGAACCAGGTTTGTGGGGGAAAATCAGGGTTTAAATATTATTCTCAAGTTCAAAGGCATGTAAAACCAAGGAGACTATACCATTTCTTGAGTAACTATCACAGCCAGGCTAAGTGCTTGCATACATTAATCACTAGCAGATAGTATACAGATGGGAAAAATGGACATTTAGACCTATTTTCACATAGAACAATCTGAAAATTATGAATTTATTATGAATAATTACCAGTAGTTAAGTCTATAGAAAATTTGTAGGTACAGTAAAACGTTTTTGGTTAAATATAATATCTGAAGATTCATATCCCAACCAAGTAAGCCTCATTGCATTTACATCATAGTTTGAGAGATTTGGGAAACAAAAACAAAAATCTACTATTTTATCTTTGAGTTTCAAAAATTGGTCACAATATCATCTCTCCCACACTATTCTTTTTTTCCATGCTAGAGATTGATCCCAGGACTTCATGAATGCTAGGCAAGCACTCCACCACTGAACAACATCCTCAGCCCCTTACCTCTCATTTAAAAAAAGGGGATGGAGGAGGAATGGATTGATTCATAAGATGTGGGAGAGAAAAATGTCAAAGGACATCTTAATTTTATATGAAGTCAATATAAGTGCTTATTATATTAATAATTGTGCATTATAGTCTATATGTTAAAGCCTTGAAAAAATTTAATCTGCAAATGCCCAGCATGTCTTTTCTCTAAAATAAGGCTAATAATCATTCTTTTGAACCTCAGACACTATCAGTGTTTTAGTTACATGTAATTCATGTTCAAAGATGTTATGTGGTTTAAAATATGACTTCTGTCATTGAGGGATGAAATACTCTAAAATGGATCCTGATGCTTGCACAACTTTGTGAACATACTATAGAGCACTTGAAATGGGAATTATATCTGGATAAATCTGTTTAACATAAATAAGTCATATAAAGAAAATATGTTTATTACATTTTTATAATTTATAAGTAATTTTCTCCCCCCCCCTTGTACATGTGGTATTTCATAAGATTGAGTAGAAAAGAAATTTTTCTTTCCTAGGACATTCCAGTATTTTTCTTTAAAAAATTAGTTGCTCTGAATATTGGGCTAAAATTCTCAAAGTCTTATTTATACAAGATATTATTTTAT